TTCTATGGTTTTCTTAGTATGTTTGATTTGGTGATAAGTGGAGGCGTTGCAGAGACAACATTTGGGTGCATCTCCCAAATGTCCCGGCCGCAACAACGCTTCTATTGGTTCCGCTATCGGGACGGAACCAATAATGGCGAGCCGTTATTTTTTATTTTATATAATTAATTTTAACGTTTTATTTAGATTACAAAAATAAATCGAAATAAAAATAATCCTATTTATGATGTTTTGAAAATTAAGACCTACAAAAGACTGATTTAAGACATTTTAATAACAATTAAGGCCTTAGTTTTATTTTTGAAGAATTCAATGCCTTTTAAGACTTTTTAAGGACCTGCGGGAACCCTGTTATGGTCTCATTGGAATCTGCATTTTTTTTGTACACCAAATTTTAAAAAGTGCATTTTTTAGCACAGAATTTTAAACACTGAACTTTTTTATATATTGAATCTCTTACACTGATTTTTTCTGGTAAGAATTTGATTGCAAATGTGTTGACCACAGATTCTTCTTCTACTGCAGTCGAACAGCTTCTAGCCAATGATATTACCTCATTTGATCATGTGACAACAGTTGGGCATAGCTTTGTTCCTGACTGAATTAAGCTAAATGATGACCTTTTTTGTTCAACAGATTTGATTACAAAACGTCAGGTAGCTACTAAAAGGCATCCATTATAGTTTTTCATCTAATCAGGCAGGGTGAAATATATGAGCCAATCACGGCTAGTGTGACACCCCCGTCTGCTCTTGGTTTGATCCGGAGGAAGCGGCAATTTTTTTTTTCTAACCAAATAAGCTGATTTCATTGGATAAGAAGCTGCTCGACTCCATCGAGTGCAGATTGCAGTGGCTTGAGTTCACCAAAAGGTAAATATACAGTTGAATTTTTTTGCAGCTGAATTTTCACCAGATAAAAATTCAGTGTAAGAAATGTATGTGTAAAAAAAATTCAGAGTTTAAAATAAAGTCTATAAAAAAGGCAGATTCCAGTTAGACTGTTTTTTTTTTTTTCTCATAGAAACTGAATTGAAAAAAAAACAAGAAATCTTGGAAAGTTTTCAAGTCGTGATTTGTACATAACGTTTTTGAAGATGTGAATCTCACAGATATCTGAAGCTTCTGCTGTTGTTTTCAGCCTCCATGTGAACCCATTGTAATGACCAAATGCTCCCCGTTAATCAGCCCCTTTGTTTTCACATCTCGCTGACTTTGTTATGATTGCTCCTTTTGATTACATGTCCAACACGTTTGTCAACCATTTATCCAAGAATTCAGCAGGACATATTTGGCTCTTTGAAAGTGTTTGGCTATGAACTGACAATTTATTCAGGGTGGATAGTTTAGCTGAGCAGCGGGAGCTTAATAATGTTCACCGCTCTGCACAAAATACTGGGAGTTTGACCGAAAATATTCCTGGGAAGTCAATTTTTCAGCAACGGCCGACACAAGTCAAAGCTTTTACCAACAAACAGTTGAGATAGCATCAGCTCACAGCTGCAGATGATGTGTTTGCTATCAAACACAGGAGCTCTAATAATACGGCTCAGCCTGAGAGCGTCTGCGGGATGAATGGAGCCGTGATTCATTCGTGCCTTTATTGTATTCAGAAACTCAAAAGAGGATTATTTTGAAGATGGGTCACTCTCATTGAGAGGGAAACTCTTTGATCATTCAAACAACATGAAATGAGCAGACTGCTTTGTCTCATAAATAATGTTTTTTGTCGCCGACTATTCTCGCTTACCTCCTCTGACAGCTCCCCAAAAACAGTCAGGACGTCAATCAGCAAACTGGAGGTGTAGAAAGACTTGATCATGTTCCTGCAGAGAGACAAAAGGACAAAAGCTGGGTTAAACGAAAAAAAGGCAGACATAAGGGGAAACAAAACTTCAAAATCCAACACAGAGGTGGACCACATCAGCAACCAAGACTGAATAAAACTAAATGTTTAAAAGAAAATTAACCATCAGAGAACACTTCATTCTGTCCTCCTGTTGGATAAAAAAAGCAACATTACTATCAGAGTTATCAAACCAATAGCAGCAAAAGATTTAAATGATCACTAAACCAAGAAGTTTGGTTTAAAAAGGGAAAAAAGTCAGAATTCTGACTTTTTTCTCTGAATTCAGTACTTTGATGAGCCCAGAGGCCTGTCAGACAAAAAGCAGTTTAAAGGAAAAGTCCGGTCATATTCATTATTCAAACTTCTGAAAGTACTTTAAATATGAAATCATTAC